CCCCCCCCCCCCCCCGGCTTGTTTGGCATTGGGCACAAAGCTGCCAGGGAAGTCACTTGGGGCAGAGGAGAAGCGAAATGGGTTAATCCAGGTAAGATGGGAGGCCCCGCAGCCGGGAAAGCAACTAATCTGAACGAAGGATTAAGGCTGTCCTAGATAGGTCTGCCTTCCCTGGGGTGTTGGCCACTCTGCCTGGCTGCGTGCGTGTGTGTGTGTGTGTGTGTGGTGTGTGTGTGTGTGTGTGTCCCTGCCACTTATTGACTTCATCACCCCTGCCTTTCAGAAGGGCAGTCTCCCTACAGGAGGTGCCTCTTTGGGGAGACCTTCACTCCCTTTCCGAATCCAAATGGAAGCGCATTTTTCTTCCAAATTCCTTTAACAACCTCGAGTAGCATTTTGAATATTTTGAACAACCTTGATTACATACCCGACAGTTCAGTTGGGGACTTAAAGGAGAGAGCTGAGTCATTTGGGCTGGCGCAGCCACCCCCAAACCGGTGGGTGCTGTGGACCCAGAGCCGAGTGGTGAGCTGTGTGCCCTCCCTCGGTTGCTGCCTTCTGTGCGTTGTGTTAGTTTTTCCAGTGCGGTTGGCAGGCTGGTGATGAGCAGGAGTCTTATTTTTATTTTGTTTGCTCATTTATTTATTCATTAAACGTCTGTGCCACGGAGAGGCGCTTCACTCCGGCCGCGTTGTGGTGGCTGTGGGAAGGTGCCTTCCCGGCTCCAGAGCCCCTTCCTCTTCCTCTGGCCTTCCTGGGCCGCTCCGGAGCTGGGAAGAAGGGCAGGTGGGGCAAGAGGCTCAGCTGCCCTTCAGAGGGGGGGGGGGGGGGGGGGGGGAGGACAGCTGCTCTCAGCCTCGCCCAGTGTGTGAATCACAGCTGGGGAGACGTGCCGGCCGCCTCCTCTGGCCCCCTGGCTCAGGGTAAAGGTTGGCGCTCTTGCATTCTGGCTCTTTCTCTCCCAAAGTGGCTTCTTCCTCCTCTTCCTTTCTAAAATTATAATTCCATGAATTAATCATGGTCACTCACAGCCCATGAGTTTCCACTGGGGGGAAATAGCCATGTTTGCTCTGGGAATCCATGCCTGTTTAGCTTTATTTCTGCACCTGGGGTCTTTTCCCTCTGCTGCTCTGCTCGGGGCATGGATTTAATCCAGAAGAGCTTATCTTTTTTTGGCTGAAATGACCAATGACCTTTGGAATCTCTCTCTCTCTTTCTCCCTCCTTTCCTCTCTCCCTCTCCCTCTTTTTCCCTTCCTCTCCTCTCCTTTCTCTCTCCCTTCCTCTCTCTCTCTCTCTCTCCCCCTTTCTGTCTCCCTCTCTCTCTGTGCTCTCCCCCTCTCTCCCTCCCCCTCTTCCATTTCCTCTTTCTCTCTCTCTCTCTCCCCCTCTTTCTCCCTTCCTCTCCCCTCCTCTCTCTCCCTTCCCCTCTCTCTCCCTCCCTCCCTCTCTCTGTCTCCCTCTCCCTCTCTCCCTCCCCCTCCCCCTCTTCTGTTCCCTCTCCCTGTCCCCCCCTCCCTCCCTCCCTCCCTCCGTCTCTGTCTCTCGCACGTGCACAAACACACACAATTTCTCATTAGTCCAACCAGAGATCAAGACTTCTTCACAAGCTTGCCACAAGTTGACTTTCAAGAAGGATTGGCAAGTGGGGGCTCCGTAATGGGGTCTAATTGCTTCTGGTATTTTGAAAACACCATGATTAAGTGTGGCAGCGGAAGGCAGCCTTCAGATCAGCTGCCATGCCTGGAATAAATACTTGGTAAACATGCCGTTTGATGTTCTCGTGACACGCCGGGGAAGGAAGTGTGCCGGCGCTTCTCTCCTGCCTGGGGAGAGATCGGCCTGTGGGCCACTCAGGAGCCGCCAAGCAGGTCCCCAAGATTCCTCCAGATCCATTGGGATCTCTGTCCAGTTCCTTTTATTTCCTGGAACCGAGTTCTGGGGTTCAACCTGCCCTTGTCGTCTCCAGGAAGCAGAGCCACTTCCTGCTGGCCCTGGGCCTTGCAGGGACCCCAGATCCGGCCTGGCTTGGCCTGAGGGCCACCCTGACCCAGCAGGTGTACGAGGGGGACCCAGTGGAACGGCAGGGGAGGAGGGGGCCGTTGTGCGGCGGAGGGAGAGGTTGCGTGGATCTCCTCCACCGGAGCCGGGGGGGGCCTGGCCTCCCGTCCCCTCCGCCCCCCGAGGCCCCTCCTGAGCGTCTCCCGTTGTGCTTTCAGACCTTGCGAAAGAAGGGGTTCAATGGTTGCGAGAGTCCAGAGCCCGACGGGGAAGACTCCGTTGACCAGAGCCCTCTGACCGAGGACAAGTACCGCAAAGCCAGTGAGGACCTGGACAACTTCTTCAAGCGCTACGGCGTAAGTAGCCGCCCCCAGCCGGCCAGAAACCCCTCACCGTCTCTCTCTCTCTCTCTCTCTCTCTCTTCTCTCTCGTTCTCATCTGTTTGTTGGATTCGACCCCCCCTCCCCCCCTCCCTCCCTCCCTCCCGCCCTGGCCGGACAGGCGCTGAACAAGAAGCATAGAGAGGGCGAGAGCGCCGACGGGGAGGACATCTTTACCCTGACACCCCAGACCGAAGAAAAGTATAAAAAGATTGATGAGGAGTTTGATAAAATGATGCAGACTTACAGGCTCACAGTGAGTAACGGGGCAGCCCCCTCGCTCCCCTCCGCGTGGGCGGGGCGGCTGCCGGGCGGGGCAGCCCTGCACGCCCCCAAGGCATTAACACGCGTGTGGACGCTCTTCCCCGACACCCGCTTGCCTTGCCAAGACTGCCCCGTCTGCCTAGGGGGGAGCCAAGGGCCTGGGGGGGTGGGCTTGGTCCCCTGAGGCGACCGAGGAAGGACCCTGCCAGGGAAACACAGGTCCAGAGGAGGCCGCCCCGCCCGCTGGGCCTGAGGCCAGGCTGGCTTTATGTACGTAGTATTTATTTATTAAACAAACGTATGTGACCGCCCAACTCTCGCATAGGTGACTGCATGAAAAATAATCCCTCCTCTAGGAACAACCGACTCCATTCCACGGCTTGCCAGCCTTCCTCTCGCCTTTCACTCCCTTCGGTTTGAGGGTCTCGGTGCAAAAACAGCAGCAGCAGCAGGAAATCATCTGTCAATCAGGCTCACTTTACTCCTGGCGGGCAGGAGACCCCAAGGTGCCCCCCGCACCGAAGGGAAGCCCCTTTGAGGGCCGCGTGGCCTCCATGAGACCTGCCCTTAACAGCCTTCCTTCCTTCGAATAGCCCTCCCCACCCCTTAGATGCCCCTCCCCCAAAGGCAGCCCCTCCCGGAGGCTCCCTGGCAGCTAGCGAAGAAAGAGCAGGAGGAGGAAGAGGAAGAAGGAAGGAGGAGGAAGGGGAGGAGGAGGAGAAGAAGAAGAGGAGGAGGAGGAGGGGAGGAGGAGGGGAGGAGGAGGAAGAAGAAGAAGAAGAAGAAGAAGAAGAAGAAGAAGAAGGAAGAAGGAAGAAGGAAGAAGAAGAAGCTGCTTTCCTCTCTTGCCATGGAACTCTTGTGCAATGGGCTCCCCTCTCCGATTAAAATGCCCGACTCTTTCAGTCCTTTGGAGCTGGGCAGCTTGTAAACTCACCTAAGAATGAACTAACAATTTTAGGGGCGCCCCAAGACCCCCGCCTCCCCGACTGCCCTGCTTGCTCCTCTCACCTGCGTGCCTCTCTTTGCTAGGGCCCCAAATGCATCTCGGGCGCGGCTGCAGACCCCGGAGGCTCCTGGCCCCGCTGGGTGTGGAGTTGAGTGGCTGTTCCCTTGGTTCTTGCCCGGTTTGTGCCAGGCTGAGGTTGCTAACTCTGCGTTCGACTCTTTCGGGGGTTGTTTGTGCTCGGGGGGGTGAGCTTCGCCCCCCACGCCCAGCGTTTCCCCACCCGCTTTGGAGTTGCCAAGCAGGAGAACGGTGCTCTCGGAGGACCGAACCGGTCAGAGATCGTGTCCGAATCCCAGCGTTCCTCCTGGTCCAGGGCACCTCCATGCTCCGTGGTTCCTTGTGTGGCTGCGTGGCTGGTCCCGCCGCTCGCTCGGGTGGTGCTGGTGGCAGGGGAGCCCCTCCCCTCGGCCGCCAGGGCTCAGCTGCGCCCCTGCCCCTTTTCTCCACAGTCCTCCGTTCCTGCTCCCAACTTCGCCATGCCGGTGACGGTGCCAGTGACCAACCAGAGCGCCCTGCCGTTCAGCAGCCCCGGGGGCTCCCTGGTGACCCCATCGCTGGTGACTTCCTCCTTGACCGACCCCCGGTTGCTGTCCCCGCAGCAGCCGGCCCTCCAGCGCAACACCGTCTCCCCGGCTCTCCCGCAGAGGCCGGCCAGCGCAGGTACGGCCTTCTCCCTCCTCCTCTTCCTCTTCCTCCCCCTCCTCCTGCTCCTCTTCCTCCTCCTCTTCCTCTTCCTTCTGCTCCTCTTCCTCCTCTCCCTCTTCCTCCCCCTCCTCCCCCTCCTCTTCCTCCTCCCCCCTCCTGCTCCTCTTCCTCCTCCTTCTACTCCTTCTCTTCCTCCTCCCCTCCTCTTCCTCTTCCTCCTCCCCCTCCTCCTCCCCCTCCTCCTCCTCTTCCTCCTCCTCCCACTCTTCCTCTTCCCCCTCCTCCTCCTGCTCCTCCTCGGGGGCCTCTTGGGCAAGGCCAAAGCAGCCGGCCAAAGGAAAGAGGGGCAGCGAAATGCGATGGGAGGAGCCCCCTGGCCTTAAGGCAAAGGTTTGCGGAGGGTCCCTGGGCGGAGGAAACGGGCAGAAGGGGCTGCAGCCACAAGTTCCTCTTGGGGAGATAACAGAAGCACCGAATGTCCTCGACTTATGACTGCAATGGAGCCTGCCCAGCACGGTCGTCGGCTGTGAAGCCCATCGAGCAGGTCATGCCATGACCAGTGCAATTTTACGATCTTTGTGGTGGTGGTCATTAAGCAAATTGCCACAGTCATTAAGTGAATACATTAAGCAAATGTGAACTCATGGTTCACTGGGGGGGGGGCGCTTTTGGCCAAAAACTGGAAGTAAGTGCTGGGTTTTGGGGGAGGACGTCATACATTTAGTCCGGTGGCCAGGAGGGCTTGGGGGGGGGGGGCTGAAAGCATCTCTGGCGGGACGTCCTGTCCGGAGGCGGCTGGGGATGCAACTGACCCTCTTGGCTTCTTCCTAGGGGCGATGCTCGGAGGGGAGCTGGGCAACACGAACGGAGCCTGTCCCAGCCCCGTGGGTGAGTAGCCGCGGCAGCGCCGGGCCGAGGGAGCTCGGGAGCTGCCCCTCCAGAAGGGAAGAGGTCCCCCCCCCCCCCCCCCCTCGTGCCCTCCCCCCCCCCCTCCGCCCCCCCCCCCACTCCCCTCCCCCTCGCAGTTTTGGCTCCTTCGGCTGGACAGCTGAGCCAGAGGAGAGTCAGCGGATGCGGGAGGAGCAGCTGTCCTCACCCCCTTTTTGGGGGTGGCCGAGAAGGAAGGTGGGGGTTGAGACTGAGAAAGTGCAAGTCAGCGGGGGGGGGGGGGGGGGGGCAGGATTTCACAGGAGGGAGGGCCAGACGATGCCGGATTGGGTTCCCTCGGCCTCCGGCCTGAAGGTGGAGCATTTTCTTTTTTATTCTTCTTTTATGGTGCCCGCATGTGTATACCTCTATACAGTATAGGAAGGGGGAGGGGCTCCCCAAATACCCCCTTTGGAGGTGCATCCCCTGGTCTCTAAGGGCCCCTCCCCCACTCCCTTCTGGAGACACAGGCCATCCTAACCAGGGGGGGGCGGCTCCCCCCCCCCCCCCCCCCGCCGAGGTCCTTCTTCCTCTTTTGCCAGCCTGCCAATCAAACCCGTTGAGGCCAAACCTCCTTCCCAGAACCTGCCCGGGAGGGGAGCTGGGTGCAGCCCAAAACTGGCGGGGACCAGGCCAGCCAGTTTCTCTGCCTGGGTTTCAAGGAGAGGTTTTGCTTCCTTGCCTTCCTTTGTCCCCGTCCGTTTCAAAACCAGCCCTTGCCTGGAATGGGACGCCCATCCCGGGTGGCTTCGGGCATGAGGCCAGGCCCCTGTCTGCGGGCAGAGAGGCAGCTCTCGGTCAGCTCTGCTTGGCCCAAGCGGCCCACTGTGTGCCCTCAGCCAGCCTCTCTGGGGCGCTGGGGACTTGCCCCTTGCCCGCCTGTGCCCGGTGGCGGGGGAAGGGGAGCCATTGAGCCTAGGGGTGCCCTGGCCAGTTAGAGCCCACGGGCAGGAGCCTCCTCCCTTCGCTCTTCCCCCACCCTGTTGCCCTGGACCCCCCCCAAACGCCTCTCTTCGCTGGGTTGGCTGCTCGGCAGCTGAGCCCCCTGGAGCCTGGAAGGCAGCCCACCCGCTGCGGGCTTTACCGTTTTCCAAGAGGCTCCACACACTGAAAAGTTTGGTTTTAGCCGGGGCCCGAGCAGTTGGAGCTGCCCCGGGGAGGCAGCCGAGAGCGGCGGCACCTTCCTGGCCTTCCTCTCCCCAGGATGGGGGGCGGTCTCAGAGGGGGAGCTGGCTGCAGGGTCCCGGGAAGCGGGGCTCTGCTGGTTTCGGGGAAGGCCGTCTGCTGGGCAGAGGCTGTTGCCTTAGCCCCCCCCCCTCCGGCTCCTCTCCCTCCTTCTCCAGAGCAGCCCCCACGTCAGCTGTTGCGAGCGGCTGTTCCAGCTTGCAACTTGGCAGGGACCCTGAATGTCAGCCTTGACGTCACAAAAACATTCCCCTCGTTCCAGGAAACGGGAGCAGGGAGGGCCACTCGGGACCCCTTTCTCTGGGCTCCCCCCTCTCTGGCCGCAGGGGGCCCTGGCTCCATCCCCCTCCCCCTTTCCTCTGCCTCCCCTCCCCAACGTTGGCTCTTTGTCGTACTCTAAAGCGGCGTTTCTCCCCTCTGGCCATTCTAAGATGGGTGGACCGAAACTCCCAGGACTTGCCAGCCGGCGTGAAGTTGAAGTCTGGCCCATTTCAAAGTGGCCCAGGTTGAGAAGCCAACAGGGACTCTGGGCTGACCCAAACCGCCCCCGCTGAGCCCGCCATTCCCCGAATTCCTCGGCCCCTTGAAAGCTGCCTGGGGGGGACCGTGCTGGGGGGCTTCTGGTCTGCGGCTCAGAGGAACCTGCACAGCAGCCGGGCAGCGGCTGGGGGAGGCAGAGCCAGCATGGTTACCGAGCCCGGTGAAGGGCTTCGCTGGGGGCTGGAAGAGTACAGAACAAGCCCCACAGGGGCCTTTGGGAAGATGGCAACCGCCAGGCCTCTGATGGCCCCGTGAGGTTTGGGGGCTAGTGCCCGCCTCTGGCACGTTGGCACCCACCCAGAGGAGGGAACCCCAACCTCGTGGTGAGGAAGGGGCTGGCAGGCTCTGCTTGGTAAGCCCGCTTGGTTCTGGGGTGGGCCCAAGCGGCTCAGGGGGCTTCCCAGCTTAGGGCTGGTGGTCCTTGCCCATCCAAATGGCTTCAGCGGGAAACGCCGGGCTTATTTGCACCGGCCGCAGTGGAGGCGGGAGACAGCCCCGCGTCCCGCAACATTGCAAGGAATCCTGGAATGGCTCTGTGCTCCCCTGCAGGCAACGGCTACGGCAGCGCCAGGGCCTCCCCGAACCTCCTCCCCGTCTCCAACGGAAGCAGCCTAGGCAAGGCGAAGTCGCCCCCGCCGCCTCCCCAGCACATGGTCAGCAACCTCCGCAAGCCGGACCTCCGGGTCATCACCTCCCAGGGCGGGAAAGGCCTCATGCAGCACCTGGTGAGTCCAGCTTGGAAAGTCCGGCCTTTGAGGGGTCCGGACCCTGGGAGTCCTTCCCTTCCCTTTTCCAGTCCGTCTTTGGGGAGGCCCAACCCCTCGTCTCCTAGCCGAGAGCCTCGTCGTTGTCGGAGGATGCGACGGTTGGCGAGGCCCTTGGAGCCTTTGGAGACGGCAAACGGGGCGGGGCTGGTTAACATTCATGCCCCACTCCAGTCTGACACACACACACCCACACACACACACCCTTCTTACAGGCCGCCTGGGTCCGCCCTCCCTCCTTCCCTCTGCGTTTTGTGGGAACAGCCTCTCGGCAAGCCAAATTCTGTTTTCTGCTTATTCGTTTTAAAGTTGCAGAAAGGAAGCCTTTTGCTCTGCTCCGCTTTGGTTTTAATCTGTTTGTCTGCCTAATTAATGGCATCGATCTGCAAGATTGCATCAGTCTGCAGTGCTGGCTAAGGAATTCTGAGGGTTCAAGTCCACTTGCCAGGGTCGGACCCCTCTTGTCCTTGCACGCTTTGCTGAAGGGGCCAATCCCCACGGGGCCCGTTTTGGTGCAGCCCGGGCAGTTCCAATGTTAAGGCCACTAATTGGTGCTTTGGTGTTTTCCACCTGGAAGTTCCCCAGACATGAGACGAATTAGCCCAGCAGTGACTCTTTTTGAGGTCCACGAATGACACAGAATTCTCAGTGAATGTGGGAAGCAATATCGGAATTAGGAATTAAATGTAATAAGTTTCCTTTGCTTTCATTTTTATTCTGCACCCAGACGGACGATCAGTTGGATCTGGTGAGTTATGCATGGGTGTGCCTCTGCGTGTGTGTGTGTGTGTGTGTGTGTGTGTGCATACACAAGGGTCTTTCGTCAACCACTGTTCTAAAATGGTGAGTGGGATGTTGGGGGTCCCCTAGCGGAAACAGGGGCTCCCACACCGGCTTCTGGCCCCATCGGAGGGGTCTGGGTGTCCTTCCTCCTGGGGGGTGCATGCTTCCGAACTGCATACATTGCCTGTCTCCTCCCCCACCGCCCCCCCCCCCCCCAGGACTGGCACCTCTCGGCCTGAGACAGACAGGGTCCTCTTTGGCCCAGATTCCCTCTTGCCCTTCCTTAGCGAGGAGGGGGAAGGGGTGTCCCCCTGAATCCTCCCCCCCCCCTGCACCCCCTTGTGGCATGGCTCCATCAGGGTCCTTGGGGCGCTGCCTCTCTTCACTGCTGAGTATTCCCACACCCACAGCCCACTGGATCCGGCCTGGGGTTGATGCCCCCTCTGAGCCTCCGTGACATCCCTTCCTGGCCCCCAGTGCTGAAGGAGCCAAGGTGTGCCAGCCTCCCTAGAAGAGGGCTCCGTGCACGGCCGGGCTGCCAGGTGAAGGCCCCCCAGGCCATGGGGCACTGCTGGGGGGGGGGGGGCTTTTCCCTTCACAGCCCTGGGGCGCTTCTGGCCTCGGGGCCTCCGATGGCTCTTGAGACGGAAGGAGGCGGCATTGGGCAAGGCGTCCCCTGTGCTCTTGGCCCCGGAATGGGGTTGGCTCCGCTCCTGGTGGGAGACGTTGGGGTCTTCTCCACCCTTAACCGTGGGGCTCCCCCGTACACACCGGGTGGTTTCCTAGAGACCATCACTTGGGAGCATCGGGAGGAGAAACGGGGGTGACATTTGGTGGCTGCATTGGTGATACGGATCGTGTGTCCATTGGGATAAATGAGAGCCTTGTAGGGAAGCAGGACTTTCTCCAGTGTAGACCTTGAAGCAAGAACGCCTCCGGAGCTGCCTTGGACCCCTGCCTGCCGCCACCTCTCAGCCGGGGTGGGTGGGCTTGGCACGGAGGGCCAGGAGGCAGAAGGCGCTCGGAGGGTCAAGAGGGGTTCCAGAGGGGGGGCAGCCTGGGGTGGGACAGGAGGAGGGAGGGAGGGTGGGGGG